AAAAACATCCATTCTTGTGATTTTTAAAGTGCATTTCCCCTTGAACTTTGTGTATAAAAATATTTATCTTTTAAAACATGCAGAAATTTCTTGACAAGGCACTTTTTGGTATAAGATGAAGATGAGTCCTTGGTTTTACATTCACATTGAAGTAAAAGTGAAACATCGTTCCAGCTGCGTTCTCAAAGCCCTCAGAGGTCCAGCAGTCTCTAAAATCTCATCCACAAGACTGAAAACATTCAGGGCTTTACAACGTGGGTTGCACAGCTTTACAACCATGGCCAGGAAAAACTGCCCGGAACAGCAGCTGTCCTTCCCAGTTCCAGATGTGTTGTCTCACTCTAGGAAATTAAGATAAGCTGTCAAATTGTCTTCGTGAGACCCTGCAAGGTCCCATCATCCATGTAACTTCTTATCTCCAATTTCAGTGACCATGTCAGGAGAGATGTGATCCGGACTCTCCCAGAACGACATTTGGATGAGAAATTTTAAAAGAGGAAACAAGGCAACCAAGGTTTTCATTCCCTATCCATCAAGAGGGAAGATCCAGAAAATGGGCACTTCCAAAAAAATGAACACTTTTTTGATTGATAAACATATATGTACCATTTAATGTCCATGTGACTAGAACTAATGCTATTTTCAAAAAGAAAATGGTTTGAAAAGATCAAACCACAGAGCATTCTTTTAACAGTTCCAAATTTACATCTTCTAAAAATGTATCCTATTTTACCATCATTAAAATGAAATCTTAGTGGTAAAATAAATTCTACCATTGACTCTGAAATTGTTTTAATTTCTGGAGAAATGCACAGCTCCATTATTTCTCACCAGCTCCTGTAGACCAATAACTTTTTAAATAAAGAAACCCACTGAAATTCTTCATGTCTTCCAAGAGATATTGAAAGCTTATTTATTAAATATTTTTATATTTATTTATTGTACCCAATTTGCAAATGCTCCCCAGGGCACTTGAGGGAATAAATACAAAACAAAAATGAAGTTGCTTCCCTATTCACAGACAACTGCACCTGTGACAGGTGGCTGGTCTTTCTGGGGCAACAGGGAAAGATTCTGGGACTCGGGGTCCACTTGTTACCATAACCAAGGTCTATCTGAAGATAAACCTACAAGTCAGGCTGCAGTGAAGTCTCCAACTAAGAAACCTGTCACCCTCCGAACTATGTAGGCTTATCTACTGATCATGAGCTGTCAAACGAGGAGAGAACCCATTGGTGCAGCTCCTGAGGCCTTCTGAGAATTTCATGGGACAGAACGGGGACAAAAGGAAAAAGACTGTTTCCGGCAGGAGGGTAGTAGGGGAACAAGTGGTAAACAGAAGCCAGATAGCAGACTGTATTCTTCAGACCCCCATACATCACTGAATGACAGCCCTGATGAGGAGTCTTTTATTGGAGAAGAAGGGTCTTTGCAAGCAGGTGAGGACTTGCCTTCTGAACTGTGTGGTGGGGTGAGCATCCCAGGTGTACTGGCTGGGGGCTTGGAACCGGCGCCTCCAGCGAAAAAAAAAAGCTGGGGTGAGCTGAGAGAAAGAGGGTTTATGGCTGCTTTAGAAGAGATAGTTATCAGTGAATTACCATATTTCAAATTTTGACATGGGAATGTCTTAAGATCATTATTAGATGAAATTAAACTGACTTTATTAAACAGTCACTTGAGGCCTTTTTCTTATGAACACAGAATGATCCTTAGTTGGGTAACATGTCAATGACAGTACACTCTGTGCCTTTAACGCATTGCAGGGAGGGCGCTTCTTAAGAAAGTAAAATTCAGGACCCACATGAAATCAGTTTTGTTTCCATCTTTGAATGATTTATGCCATTAATAGTTCTGATCACCAAATTTATAACATTTAAAGTACTGTCTGTGTATCTGACGTCTGGTATGTCTATATAAAACATAGTTCTGCCCAGTAACAGCGTAAGGTAAAAATATTTTTTCCCCTAAAATTATATTATCATGTAATCCTACAGTGTTACCTGCCTGGGAGAGTTACAAAAAGCAAAGCATTAGATTTCAGGCTAAGAATAGCCAGTTTTAGGAATAAGAATTACATGAAACAGCACTTAAGATCATTTAAAAAGTCAAGGCATTTTAAACTTCAGAAATGAAAGCAAAAACAAAACAACAAAAACAACCTAACCCAACCACAAAACTCTAGGAGGCAAGGCACTCCATATCTGCCTGTTAGTTATGTACAAAGCCACATATGAGAGGTCTTTTCAAATTAATCTAGAAAATCCTAGCACAAGACTCTTAGCTTGAAAAGCCTGACAGCTGTGCCTCCAAATCCAGGCAACTGTGCTTCCAATCCTCCTCTTGCTTGCCTTGGGAAGCAAGATCTCACTTCAGTAAGATCAGGCAAAACAGAAAATAAGAGTCATTTAGCCAAACTCTAAAAACAAAAATAGAAACAAAAAATCCATCTTCCTACAAATATACATGTAAAAAAATAGTTTTAAAGCACCCCTAAGTAAACGCCAATCTTGCTCAAGAAAAATCACAGGTTTGGCTCTATCTGAAAATGAATGTCCTGGAGGTCTCTCTCATGCTCTGGTTTTTTTTTTTTTTTTTTTTTGAGACACAGTTTTACTCTGTCGCTCAGGCTGCAGTGCAGTGGCATGATCTCTGCCCACTGCGATGTCCACCTCCTGCGTTCAAATGATTCTCCTGCCTCAGCCTCCCAAGTAGCTGGGATTACAGGTGCCCACCATCACACTTGGATAAATTTTGTATTTTCAGTACAGATGGGGTTTCACCATGTTGGCCAGGCTGGTCTCAAACTCCTGACCTCAGGTGATCCACCCATCTCAGCCTCCCAAAAGTGTTAGGATAACAGGCATGAGCCCCGGAGGTCTCTTTTACAACAGCACTAACCAACAGACTTTAGTCCAATATGGTTAAGAACAATTAATCTCTGAAATTTCAGAGATGGCAAACATTTAAAATAATGTATAACACCTTGGGTGAGGTTTTTCTCCCTTATCCCTTTACATATTCACACACCATAAATAAGAACACCCAAATCCGTGTCCCTGGGTGCTGGTAAAGTGGTCTAGATATTGTAAATCATAGTAAAAATAAAACCATTTTCTGAAGGCTTCGAGGAGATACTGGATCTGCAAATCAAATGTCTGAAACACAGCGGAAAAGATGACTCTCCAGGAAAGGAGATCCAAAATTCTTTCATAAGGAATGAGACAAACCAGCCAAGCAAGTTAAAAAATCTTGTCACTGAGCCTTCCAGCAACTCAGGGTAAATGTGGGGATTTGGAGCGCTCCTCTCAGAAGGCAAGAGGAAAAGCTGAAAGTGTCCCCACTCATGACTGTCCTGCCTTGTCAGAGCCCTGCAATCTGTGACACTGCACAGGAGCCAGTGGCTTTTGATGACTGGTGTGTCGCTCTCTGCTGGAATAATCTATGGGGCCAAGAAGAGGGGAGAGGAAATGCCTGTTTCAATCACAAGCTAATTTGCCTTTATTATCTTTTCCTGAACATCAGATGAACTATGGTAGAACATCAAATGCAAAAGATGAATGTGCAGAAAACAGGAACCAATCTCATTTCTCTTCTGCAGTTGCATTAAAAATATGAGTCAGGTCAATGTGTCACAGTGCAGAGATAAAGCGTGAAGTACACGTAGCCGGAGGACCCACAGCAGCTTGCAGGAAAGGCCTGGCTGGCAGAGAGCACCCAAAGATGAACACTACGAACAGTGAGGGTCCGACAGGAGGTGGCAGGGGCTGAGCGGCTTTCAGCGACTGATGTACCACAGCAAAGGGAGAGCAGAAGAGAGACTCCTCCAGCTTCATCAGCACTGGCACAGCCTTGGTTCCCTTTCCAGCACCGACCTGCACAGACGCTTGCGGCTGCCACAGTGCCAAAGCGCGCCAGCCACCACCACTCCTTTGAGTGCAACACCGGTTGTGTAATCTGAACCTGGCTGGATTTGCTGGTTTAAGAAAGAAGTGAAGAGGATGCTTTGATTTTCCAAAACCAGGCCTCATGGAAGTCCCACTTTGCTCTTCCCTGGCCTTCCATCTCCACTTTGCAGTGAGCAGAGCTAGGCTTGTCTGCAGCAGCTCCACCACGCCCTGTCACCTGCAGTCACTAGTAGTAGGGCCCTAGCTTTTCGTATCCTAAGTAACTTGGCCACTCTGGAAACAGACCATAGGAACACCGAGGGCTTCCAAACTGGTCAAAGGATATTCCCAAATCCGGTCCATTGTTGGGCTTGGTCATTCCCTGGGTAGATTTTAACTCAGCCCGGATGATTCTATAGTTCTTGCCTCTGTTGCTGTCCCAGTGTGTCTGTCCATTGCACTCGTAGCACACAGCAAATTCCATTCTTTCATAAGACTGAATCTTCTCAGGCAAGCTGATGTCGAAGGAGAATGTGTCCTTGTCTGAACCGGCGTAAGTGTCCTTCACGTACTGGCAAGGAAAGTCTGTGTAGCTCTTCCAGGTGTCAAATGTCATCCTTATTTTCACGGTCTTCTCAAATGCAAGGTTCTGAACCTTCACAGTGCCTGCGATGGCCTTGTCCTTGAGCACACAGTTCTCAAGGCAGACATGGTCAGCCTGAAGTCGATTTCTAAAGTCTAAGTAATCTGCAGAGGGCTGGGAAAAATCCAGAACAAAGCTCTCGCTCTCTGCTGTCGTCAAGCTCACAATGTTGTCTAGGAGCTCGGTGATGTTGAATGGGATATCTAGCGGGTCATCAAATTCTGAGAACACTTTGACCATTGTCAGGGCCAGCCCTTGGTTGTCTGCGAAGGACACCCGCTTTTTCACCTTCTTTTCCTGGACGGCCGGGGCCACCATTCCACTGGCTTCATTCTTGCTGCTCAGCTGAATACAAGGCCTCAGCGGTTTGCTGGGCTTTGGTGAGATCTTAAAGGCAAACCTCTCTCGGCGCAAGGAAGGGGCCATGCAGTTGTATCTGCACTCGATGTCCACAGCCATCATGGGGCTAGATCAATAGGCTAGAACCCTAGAAAGACAGAAGAGAGAAAACAGCAGAGCAATCAGATCAGATAGATGTGTAAAGGCATGATTCCAGCAGGGACTGGCAAACAATGTTTCCTTTTATCTCTGCCCACATGGCTACAGGTCAGGATTAACTCCAGTGTGGTCCAGCACAACACGGGTTTGAGGGAAGTTTATGTTGGGGAGGGGACAAGATGGGGGGTTCAAGGTTAAAACAAACAAAATAGTATGCAACTCACTAGTTTTAAAACTAAATACACAGGTTTTTTCATCAGCATTTCTTGGGACCTTCCGTTGGCTAATGTGCCACAGAGGATCATTAAAAGGGCATATACTGTTTTTAAAATTTCCCAAACCTATTTGATTAAAAAGGTATCTTCCATAGATAACTGTCCTGAAGGACACTATTTATTTATGTATTTTTAGAGACAAGGTTCACTCTGTCACCCAGGCCGGAGTGCAGTGGCGTGACCACAGCTCACTGAAGCCTCGACCTCCTAGGCTCAAGTGATCCTCCCACCTCAGCCTCCCAAGTAACTGGGACCACAGGCACAAGACACCATGCTTGGCTAAGTTTTTAAATTTTTTGTAGAGACAGTTCTCACTATGTTGCCCAGGCTGGTCTCACACTCCTGGGCTCAATCCATCCTCCTGCCTTGGCCTCTCAAAGTGCTAGGATTACAGGTGTGAGCCTCCCTATCCACACTTGATTAATTGAGAAGTAAAACTTGTGTATTCTTATGGTATACAACATGATGTTTTCATATATGTATACATTATAGAATAGCTAAATCGAGCTACTTAACATGCATTACATCACGTTATTTTGCAGTGAGAACACTTAAAATCCACTCTCAGTAATTTTCAAGTATATAATATATCATTACTAAGTATAGTCGCCATATTGTACAGATCTCTTGAATTTATTCCTCCTGTCTACCTGACATTTTGTACCTTTTGGCCAAAGGATACCTCTCCAGTCCCTCCACCCCCAGCTTCTGGTGGCTACCACTGTAGTCTCCATTTCTATGAATTTGATTGTTTCCGATTCCACATATAAGCAATATCATGCTGTATTTGTCATTCTGTGCCTGACTTATTCACTTAACATCCTCTAGGCTCATCCATGTTTGCACAAATGACAGGATTTCCTCCTTTTTTCAAATGGAATAGTATTCCACTGTGTTTATCTATCATGTTTTCTTTATTCATTCATCCACTGATGAGCACTGAGGTTGATTCCATGTCTTGGCTTGGTGAATAATGCTACAGTGAACATAAGAGTGCGGATAACTCTCTGATACACTGACTTCAATTCCTTGGAATATATGTCCTGTAGTGGGATTGCTGGGTCATAGAAGAGTTCTAGTTTTAGTCTTTTGAGGAGACTCCCTGCTGTTTTCCATAATGGCTGTACTAATTTACATTCCCACCAGCAGGAGATAAGGGTTCCCTTTTCTCCACATCCTTGCCAATATTTATTTTCTTTGGCCTTTTTGAAAATAGCCATCCTAACAAGTGTGATGTGACATCTCTTTATGGCTTTATATTTGCTACAGTCTGATAAAAAGTGATGGATTCATCCCACATATATGGATTGGGTGTTCCCCATATGCTGGGCATCCAGCAAGACAGTGGGATTTAATAGTGAAGACAGACACAACCCTACTTTCATTAAGCTTATGGTAGGATTTTTTTTTTTTTGAGACAAAGTCTCACTCTGTTGTGCAGGATGGAGTGCAGTGGCACAATATCCACTCACTGCAACCTCCGTCTCCCGGGTTCAAGCAATTCTCCTGCCTCAGTCTCCTGAGTAGCTGGGATTACAGACATGTGCCACCACACCCAGCATATTGTTATATATTTTTAGTGGAGACGAGGTTTCACCATGTTGGTCAGGCTGGTCTTGAACTCCTGACCTCATGATCTGCCCACCTTGGCCTCCCAAAGTCCTGAGATTACAGGTGTGAGCCACCAAGCCAGGCCAGTTTATGGTAGGTTTTTAAATATCAGGAAGCCATTTTTTAAAAAAAGAACCAGCAGGCCAAGTGCGGTGGCTCACACCTGTAATCCCAGCACTTTGGGAGGCCAAGGTGGGCAGATCACAAGGTCAGGAGTTTGAGACCAGCCTGACCAACATGGTGAAACCTTGACTCTACTAAAAATATAAAAATTCACCAGGCATGGTGGCATGTACCTGTAGTCCCAGCTACTTGGGAAGCTGAGGCAGGAGAATTGCTTGAACCCGGGAAGTGGAGGTTGCAGTGAGCAGAGATCACACCATTGCACTCCAGCCTGGGTGACAGAGTGAGACTCCCTCTCAAAAAATAAAAATAAAATAAAATAAAAAGAACCAACAATTTAGTATTTTTAAGCCTTTAACATAGGTGAATATTTGTTTTTTCCACAAGTGAAAATAGCCTCTGTAAGAATAAAAATCAAATAAAATCATGCTAAAAGAAGATAAATCTGAGTTTAAAAAACTATATTCTTCTATAAGTAAAAATTATAAGTAACACAAAAAATATTAAAGATAAACTGTGAAAATATTTCACAACAAGCCTAGCAGCGGAGCTAATACCTTAATACGTAAAGTGTTCTTACAAAGCAATAATAAAGTCAAATATTCCACATAGAAAAATAAGCAAAGAACATGAATAGAAAATTCATGAAAAAAATTTTAAAGTGGCCTATAAATATGCAAAATGCTCAACCTTATTATTAATTTAAGAAATTTAGATTAAAAACAATGTATGTTTTTACCTATTGAATTACGAAAAAATTTTAAAAGATAATGCAAACTTTTTTTTAAAAAAGACTGGGTTTTACTCTGTCACCTAGGCTAGAGTGAAGTGGTGTGGACATCGCTTATGGCAGCGTCCATGTCTTGGGCTCAAGCAGTCCTCCCACCTCAGCCTCCCAAGTAGCTGGGACCACAGGCACGAGCCACCATGTCTGGCTAATTTTTTAAAAATATTTTTTATAGAGATAAGTTCTCACTATGTTGCTCAGGCCAGTCTTGAATTCCTGGACTCAAGCAATCCTCCCACCTTGGCCTCCCAAAATGCTGGGATTGATAGGTATAAGCCACTGTGCCCAACCAATGCAAACATTTTCATTAGTTTAAATTGGCACAACCTTTCTAATTTTTAATCATTTTATTCTAATATCACATAGAGACATTTATCCTAAGTAAAGAATTAAAAACGCATAGAGGTTAATGTACTAAAATGTTCAATGCCACATTAGACGGGGAAAAAAGTGACAATAACCTAGATGACCAATAACAGGGACCTGGTTAAATCAAATGCACCACATCCATGTGATGTACTTTGATTTTTATTATTATTTTTTTCTTTTTTGAGACAGAGTTTCACTCTTGTTGCCCAGGCTGGAGTGCAATGGTGTCATCTCGGTTCACTGCAGCCTCCACCTCTCAGGTTCAAGTGATTCTCCTGCCTCAGCCTCCCAAGTAGCTGGGATTACAGAAGCCTGCCACCACACCTGCTAATTTTTGTATTTTTAGTAGAGACAGGGTTTCACCATGTTGGCCAGGCTGGTCTCGAACTCCTGACCTCAGGTGATCCACCGCCTGGGCCTCCCAAAGTGCTGGGATTACAGGCAGGAGCCACCATACCTGGCCCATGTGATATAATTTTATATCATTATTAAAGCCATTGTTTTAAAAAATATTTAAATGGAATGAAAAGAGTTATATTTATGTTGTTATATATATGTGTGTATATATATATATAGAGAGAGAGAGAGAGAGAGAAGACAAATTGTACATAGTTGTACCTAATACATAGAACTAGTCTTGTGGTGAAAAATGCAGTTGATCCTTGAATGACATGAGTTTGAACTTCGTGGGTCCACTTATGCTCAGATTTTCTTCTGCCTCTGCCACCCCTGAGACAGCAAGACTAACCCCTTCTCCTCCTTCTCCTCCTCAGCCTACTCAATGTGAAGAGGGTGAGAATGAAGACCTTTATGATGACCCACTTCCACTTAATGAATAGTAAATGCATTTTCTCTTCTCTATGATTTTCTTAACATTTTCTTTCCTTTAGCTTACTTTACTATAAGAATACGGTATACGTTACATATAAAATACAAAATATGTGTTAGTTGACTGTTCATGTTATTGGTAAGACTCTGGCCAACAGTAAGCTACTAGAAGTGAAGGTTTTGGGGAGTTGAAACTTATATGTGGACTTTCGACTGTGTTGGAGGCTAGGTTCCCCTAGACCCCATGTTGTTCAAGGGTCAATTGTATTATGTAAATGCAGAGAAAAAATAGTAGAGATATATTTAAAATCAGAATACCTAGGTGACAAGATTTCAGGAATTTCTGGTTTCCTTGTTTGTATTGTCTTATATCTTCTAAAATAATATTGCATCTATCATCAAAACAAAATGAACCTTAAAAAAATCCTCAAATATTTTAAGATATGCCAAAAACCCATCCCAACACTACCGTCTCACTAAAGCTGAGCACTTTTTTTTGAGACAGGATCTTGCTGTGTTGCCCAGGCTGGAGTACAGTGGTACAATCATAGTTCACTGGAACCTTGAACTCCTGGGCCCAAGCAATCCTCCCACCCCAGCCTCCAAAGTAGCTGAAACTACAGGTGTGCACCTCCATGCCCAGCTAATTTTTCAATTTTTATGAGGCAGGGTCTCACCATGTTGCCCAGGTTGGTCTCAAACTCCTGAACTCAAGCAATCCTCCCACCTTGGCCTCCCAGAGTCTGAGCACTTTTTATCATTCTAATTACCAGGACAAATTTATATTTTGATTTGACGGTTTCAGTGGAGTAAATTAAGGAAATGAGTGACAAGACTAGGATTAAAATCTCAAGTTTGAGAATCACAGAACACAGGATGTGGATGAGTCTGCAAACCTGTCTCCCCTTCTTATGGCACAGGTGTAGGTCTGTGATGATGTGTTAGGGTGTTCACTCTCGAGCAGCCATGGCCACCCGAAGAAGTGACAGGCAACATGTCAACTGTCTTCAGTCAAGAGCTGGGACCACTGGTTCAGTCCAATAAATAACCTCTCATTTTCACCTTTCGATTGTGATTAACCAAACATGTAAAGAAAAAATGTGAAAGAACAAAGACATAACAGATTTGACCCCATTTTTCCAAAAGTCCAGCACTTCCCTGGGATGCAAGAAGTGCTAACAGATGGCCAGTCAGAGAAATGCATGTATTCAGAATCAAATAAAACAATAACTTATGGCCAGAATGCAGGTGCTTAAACACGCATTTTAAAGGATATCTGTCTCACTGTTTCCCCTCTAAGAAACTCAATGTAGTGAAAATTTTAAGGGAATATGCTTTCAATTATGTGTTCTTATACCCACATAACTGTTCTGGAAAGGAAAGTTCTGACCGAAGTAGGCAAGGTAGGTTTACACAGATTCAATGGATTGACTAATAGGTTCAACGTAAAAAAAAAAAATCCTATACTTACAAATTATCCAAATTTTAGTTCTTCCTGTCCTTTGCAAAACTGTGTTGGAATTCTAACCTCAGCTCTAACTTTAACACAAGTAGTGTTTTTGTTTTGTCTCATTTTTGTTCCCCCCGAGACAGGGTCTTGCTCTGCACCCAGGCTGAAGTGCAGGTGTGCGATCTCAGCTGCAACCTCTGCCTCCCAGGTTCAAGCAATTCTCCTGCCTCAGCCTCCTGAGGTGCATGCCACCGTGCCTGGCTAATTTTTGTATTTTTAGTAAAGATGGGATTTCACCATGCCAGGCTGGTCTCGAACTTCTGACCTTGTGATCCGCTTGCCTCAGCCTCCCACAGTGAGGAGATTATAGGTGTGAGCCACTGTGCCTGGCCTCATTTTTAGATAAGCATGAAAACCAAACAAGAGGCTATATCTGGCGTCCCAGTGCCCCCCACTCTACCAATCCTTAACAATCTGGGTGTGAACTGAGGGAGGAGGGGTTCCTCTTTACAGCTTCCTCCTCACCTGAGTTAGCACAGGTCAACTGCAAGTTCTCTATGCTCCTCCAACAAGCCTGTAAACCAATCTCCTATGTACTTTCCTGCATGGTAGAAAAAGGCTTGGAAACTCTCAAGATACTGTGGAAACAGAATTCCAAAGCAAAAGGATCAATCAAAGAATCTCCACACTTACAGCCCACGAAAGCCACCGTCCCAAGTTCTAATCCCTCAGGCTGAAGAGACTTAGCTGAAGATCTTGGTAGAGTTTCACTCTTTCAACCTGATGGCATAAATTTGCACCTGGGATCCCTTTTATCACCAAGCTGTGAGAACAAGCAGAAGTTCGGGTTGGAGAGGCCAGGCTCTAGTCAGAGCCAGAGCAAATTAAACAATTCTGCCAGCACTTGCAGGAGCCAAATTGCTATTGCAAGATTCTTCCATGAAGGGCAAAAGTAGGGTTATGATGGCACAGGAGGGCTACTGCCCCAAAGACATTGCACAAGCAAACCCAGTCTAGAATCACTTCACTATGTTTGTCACCATAACTGCAGGTGAGAACACTAACCTCACTGTGTGGCCTCCATCTGGGGTGTGACTCAACTGTCAGTCACCTTGCCTGTCCTCACAGATTCCAGTTTTGCTTTCCCTGATAATTGTCCAAGAATCAGCATACCAAAGTGTTGGTTTGATGCAGACTTTCCTGATCTGCTCAGGAATTCCCCAATAGACGGTGACAGGGATGGCTGCCGTCATTCAGAAGAACTCCAGCAACTGAGTTGTGCAAGGTAATATTAAGTTACTGAAAAGAAGGCACCTGGACAGGTGTTTCTTTTGCAAATGACATGAAAATGATCGGTTCTAACATAGGATGCAGCAGGCGGCACCCCAAGCCTCCTCTCCTGACAGACTCTCTGGCTGCTCCAGCTCTGTCCTTTTTGCAGGCCAGGGAATATGAGTCACCAAAGTTGGCCAGGAGAAAAAAAAAAAAGAAGAAGAACCAGAAGCTATGGACATACATTTGAACCAGGAGAGCAGGGCTCAGGATCTGATACCAGTTGCAGGACAGGAACAAGAGTGAATGAGTGCTGCTCCCAGGTAGGTATGAATTCTCAAAGACGGGCTTCCATAAAGATGCCTCAGAGATAAGGGATCAATTTCCCTGGTGAGGGACTGGGCCATGCTTCAGGGTAGATTTCAGTATTCATGGCTAAGACAGGGCAGACCCTAACAGAGCATGGAGATAGTTTTCCATAAATGCTTTCTCTGTTCCACTACGACAACACACCTTCCCAAGACAGCTGGCCAAGGTTAGGCAGCCATGGTGATTTTTTCTTGTGAAAACTACAGACTTGCACAGAAAATAACCCCATGACCTTCACGGTTTCAGGCAGCTGAGCTACTGACTTTCTGGCTGTACCTTTTATAGGAAACAAATCTTTTTTTAAAAATTAGGGCCTCAACATTATCCCCTCCATTCACTCATTCTCTCTCTCTCTTTTCTAAGACACACACACACACACACACACACACACAAATCAGATGCACAAACAACCTACCAGGAACACTGAAAACTGCCAAATTGCATTAAGTAAACATTCATAACCCAGGTTATAGTTTTCATTTTTAAAGATATGGCCATCTACCTCCCTCCAACAATTCTTTACTCCTTTCCAAAAGGTTTGACTGATCCAGCGTGGAGAGAGTGCACGTCTCTCCCCTTTGTGCTCAGCCCATGGGGCCCTATTCACACAGCCCTAAAGGCTACTTGTACCCCTTGATTCTATCCTCATCATCCAAAGCATCTTGGAGATTGATATTTGTGAATGAGGTTGCATATTCTAGGAAAAAGGCAAATTCAAATGACACAGCCTATGCCGTTGAAAAACGTACAAGGGAAAACGGCACTAGGCTAAGAATGCCTGCACCTTGCTGTGCTGCTTGAGCGAGTCACTCAACCCCTCTGGGCTTGAGGTCCCCCTCCAAGGTCCCTCCTGGCCTTGACATTGTATGTTGTGACCCATGCCTGGTGGCGCTTCTCTTCCCTCTAACTTTTTTCCCTAAATAGCTCAACTGTACTTTTGTGGTAAGTCCTCCAGCTGTATTCACTTTAGTTTTGGCTCCTGAACAACTCTACCCAAGGAACCCTTCCTTCCTCTCCTCCTCTTCCTCCCAGCCCAAAGCCTGACTTGTCTCTTCTGCTGCACCCTGGGTCTCCCAGGCAGACTCAGCCACTCAGACCACAGTCTCCAATACCTTCCACCAACTCTCCCAGTTCCCAAGTCCAATCTTTCCTCTGTTTTCTCCTCTTTTTCAGAAAACAATGCCCTGACAGGCCCCAAATCTCCCAGTAAGTCATTACTGGCCCCTAATCCTTCTTCTGCAGCTACTGTGCCATCCACACCCCTTTCTTTGGGTTCTAAAGGGAGATAGGAAAGGCCAGTGCTCTCCAGGCTGGAGGATCCCACAAGTCACTCTCCGACCCTGTCCCTTCCGTCCAGTTCGGCCAGGGCTGCACTCCGCCCCCAACCTCCCTACAAGCCTCCTTGGCCTTGCGCTGCACCCACCTTTTGGGCGGCGGAAAAGCCCCCTCCCCAGCTCGCTCGCTTCATCGGAGAGCCTGCAGGGTTGTAGCAAGGGCGGCTACCGCTGCCCGACTACGTGAGCGTTGGTGTGTCCCGGAGGCAGGGCCTGGGCTGGGTTCCCGGCGATGTCGGCGGGAGGGGGGAAGAAGACGACGAGGAGGAGGAGCCCGTTATCGCACCCGGGCGGGGCCGGCAACAGGGCAACCCCGGCCGGTGCGAGCAGCGCGACACCAGCACCCTCGCGCGGCGGCCTGGCCCCCGAGGGCCCGGGACGAGGGATCGTCCTAGGTCCCGTCGCCCTCGGCGACCTAAGAGCCTAACAAGTGTATTTCCTCGCGTTGCACAGGGAAACTGAGGCCCAGAGAGAGACGAAGCGGCTTGTCCTTAAGCTCCAAACCCCACTACCCAACTTTGGAGACGTCTCCGGACCTGTCTGGACCCAGGGCTGGGAACTTGTGCGAGGCTGGAAGCCAGAACAACAGGTGGCAAAGCGATCAGTCGCCCAGCCGCAGCTCCCCGGTCACCGTCGCAGCGGGGCCCAGCAGCTCGGTGGAGCACGTGGGCGCGGCAGGCGCATCCCAGCTGCGGTCCCTAGATCGCCCTCTCCACGTTGAAGCAACAGCTCCCTGGGGCCCACCTAGAGTGTTCAAGGGCCGGAGTGACAGTGCAAATCTCACGGTGAAAGTGTAGGTGGCAGGAACCCAAACGGGTCCCCGCTGCAAGCCCTCGCCTCGGGGTCCCCGGCCCTTCCCTCGTACTGGAGGCTTGGGAAAGTACGTACCGGGTTCAGCTCATAAGTCCCGAGGGCAGACGTGCCAGCCTGCGGCAGCATCCGCGCGCAGGGCGGTGGTGGTGGGGGAACAGGGACAGCAGCCGCGACGGCAGGAGCCGGGCACCAGGCTCGGGTTCGCGCCCCCAGCGGGCGGCCGCGTCAGTCCCTGCGCGAGAGCGGCGCGCTCGCCTCCTCCCTCCGGCAGTCACCCGGGACTCCAGCTCCCGGCGGCCGCTCTGCCCCCTTTAACTTTCCGGCCACCTCTCGGGATTCAGGATTCCATCCCGGACCCCATTTCACGTGAACGCCCCTCGCAGCCAATGGGTGCGCCCGGGACTCCAGCCGCCGACCAATGGACGCGGGGCCACGGTTCCCCGGAGCACTGCTCCGCCACGTGATCGGCAACGCGCCCGGAGTGATCGGGCTGCGGGCCAGGGTCCCGGAAAGGGGTGGTGGGTCACCGTTTCATCAGAAGCCCGAGGACGGGAGCCAGGGTGCAGGGGCAACTTCCTATAGGAGAGCGTCCCGTTAGAATGACAGGGCTGTTGCAAAGGACTGACAGCCGTGGCACAGAGCGTCCCAGATATGGAGGGTTTCACAGGTAGGTACACTTTAGAAGAAACGTCCTGACGTGAGTCTGTTATAATCACTACCTAAATCTACAGGGCCTCCGTGACACATATTATGCACCTTGAGGTCTATAGAAAATGATTTTAGAAAAAAAAAGAAAACCTTAAAGAGTTTGAATCAAAGGCTCTTCTTTTTTTCACTTTACATGTAACTTGATCTGAACTAGCCACTTTAGACCTAAGGCTACCAGTTTTCTAATTTTAATGACCAGTAAAGTTTTAGAAAAAAAAAATTAGAAATTGATAGAGGATTGCCAACTTCTTAAAACTGCCAAGAAAGACATTAAAATAAACAAACCTACCGTCTCCTATTACCATCCTTTTATTTAATTTTATATATTTATTTGAGACAGAGTCTTGCTCTGTCGCCAGGCTGGAGTGCAGTGGTGCAACCTCAGCCTCCTGGGTTCAAGAGATTCTTCCACCTCAGCCTCCCGAGTAGCTGGGACCACAGGCGCGTGCCACCACACCCGGCTAATTTTTGTATTTTTAGTAGAGACGAGGTTTCACCATGTTGGCCAGGATGGTCTCGATCTGTTGACCTTGTGATCTGACCACCTCGGCCTGCCAAAGCGCTGGGATTACAGGCATGAGCCACCATGCCCGGCCTTATTTTTATTTTTAAAAGTACTCTTTAATAGCAATAACAACAAAATGCAGAAAGGGTGTAAAGAAAGACCAGTCTTTCCCCATTGGATATATTTAGCTTTCTGAAAACTGATTATGTTGAATATGGCAGTTGGGAAATTTACTCTAAGTGTTACAAGCTCAGCTTCCAGTTTTACTAGGAATGCAAGCCTAAAACACTAATCGGCAACAATAATCCAATACAAGCCTTTAGCTCTATAGAAAGCTTTCCTGGAGGAAGTCTTCCCGTCTGAAGTGTGATTATTAATCTTCTTCCTTCTTTTCAGATGGGCAGATCTGATAAGGGACCACCTGTGAAATCAGCTATTGGTAGGTGGTTAGCAATACCATTTCTATGCAATATTCCCTCTGCCAACTTTAAATCTGCTCTTGTTAGGTGATGAGTAGGTTGAAGATTTTTAAGCCATGTACTGGCTACGTTTCTCAAGTGTAGTGAGCATGCCGGAGGAGTGGGCAAAGATGAAGAGCCAACAGGTATTGCAAAAGGTATGCAGGCAAAGAGTAATCCGAACCACACCAGGAAAGAGTTGGGACAAGTAAATACAACTTTGTAGCATTAGGGGTTGGAAGCATTTTTCTTGCATGGGTCTAGGAAACCATAGACAATAATTTCCCGTGTGGTTTAGATGACTATTTCAGATCAGGAGAGAGGGATTAAACTTAGTTGTGGCACACCACAGTCTTAGTAGGTAGGAGGGTGGCATCTGAGTTTGAAAAGAGCACAGTCTTTGCCATCAGGATAGAGTTGAGATGCAAGGGCAGAGGGTGGCTTCAGCAGGAGACACAGCAGTCCAGAGCCCCAGAACCTGAGAGATGGACCCACCCTCAGACACGAACCTGCCTTACCTTCTCATTTTATGGCAACAAAGAGGGAAAGTGAAAATGGCAAATTTCAATGCTTCAGTCAATGCACACCAAGTTCCCTCTATTATACCTGGTTTTAGCTTTAATTTCATTTAATAACCCTCCTCCCCTAAACAAACCAAACCAAAACAGAAAACACTAAACCAGAAAACAGTAGTGGCTAAGCATAGCAAATTATTATTCATCCACGAACTGCTCTTTTTCATGGCTATTAGTGGTAGCACTGTCCATCTTCTTCCTTGCATTTAGTCTTACGTGTGGCTTCTTCAGACCTCTCTTCATTCATTCATGTATTCACTTATTTGTCCAACAACATATTACTAAGGAACCCCTTAAGCCTGGATGCTGAACATGGAAAAAATAAGTGAAATATAATTTTACCCCTGAGAAGCTCATAGGCTAAAAAATATGGATTTGGAATAAATGTATGTTAAGGTAAGTCCCTGTGTTAGGGGAGTTAAGAGGAAGACTGTGTGTTTAGCAGCAGAGTGGGTGGGGAAGGGGATGACCAGAGGATACTCCGGAGATGAGACCATTGAGCAGGATCCTGGAGGAGGAGTTAGAGTTAAAGTGTCATGTCAGGGAGCATGGCAGGAATTGGCAAAGACACAGAGTTTGGTAAGTACCCAAAGTATTTCCACTCTGCTGATTAAAAGTTAGGTTCTCTTTCTGGCTTAAATATTAAACAATGTTCCTTTATACCGGTGTTCACATCAGCTTTCTGCTCATCCAGAAAGTTTTAAAAAAGATTGCTAATGTTTTATCTCCTTCTCAACTTAATGTATTTCGAAAACCAGCTCAGACCTAGTCCTATTCTCATCTGAGATTTTGGAACAGAAATCTTTCTTCTTCCTCCTCCTCCTCTTCTTCTTCTTCTTCTTTCTTCTTTTCTTCTTCTTCCTCTTCTTCTTTGACTCCTAACTTGCTTCTCTTTGAATGAAAATGATTGCAAAATTAATGTAAATAAAAATAACCAGCCTTGGGAGTCAGAACTAAAGAGAACATTCTTTTGCTTGATCAGAATAGTAAGTGGGAGACTGCTTCCAAACTGCCCAAGTCAATTTATATTTAGCCAAGTGGAGTTGTTTGCACCTGTCAGAGCTGCAGACGTGTTCTGGCGCATTATGTTACCTGAGGCCCCCTGCCCCTCTCTCAGATTTGACTGACATTGACTTGCAAGGTCATGTTTTATGGGGACAGGCAGAGAAATACTTCCAAAGGAACTCTATAAGCCTCTGTCTGCAGATAAACAGACAGAGTCCTCTGTGTCCTTAGCATGTGAGAAGATCTTGAGTAGTTTACACTCCAAAGCTCCTCGAGCCCATTTGGGCATTTTTCTTACCGTTGAGGGCTTTTGAGCTCCTGAGTGAGGTTGATAAATGGATCACCTGTTTGAAAGCTCTGTGACTACAGAACTGCTTCTATTCTACAACTTCATACTTCGTGCAGTGCTTTGTGTGAGCCCGATGTATTTTCTTTCATTTGTGTTTTTATTCTTTTTTATGATTACAGTTGACTCTTGAACAATCTGGGGGCTAGGGGCATGAACCCCTGTGCAGTTGAAAATCAACATAGAATTTTGACTTGTCAAAAACTTCACTACAATAGCCTGCTGTCAACCTGAAGTCTTACCAATAACATCAGCGATTAACACATATTTTGTATGTTATATGTATTCTATGCTGTAGTTTTACAATAAAGTAAGCTGGAGAAATGAAAATTTTAAGGAAATCATAAGGAAGAGAAAATATGTTGGCTAGGTACAGTGGCTCATGCCTGTAATCCCAGCACTTTGGGGGCCCAGGTGGGCAGATTGATTGAGCTCAGGAGTTCAAGACCAGCCTGGACAACATGGTGAAACCCTGTATCTACAAAAAAATACAAAAAGTAGCCAGGCATGGTGGCACGGACCTGTAATTCCAGCTATTTCAGGAGGCTGAGGTAGGAGAATCATGTGAGCCTGGGGACATCAAGGCTGCAGTGAGCCAAGATGGCACCATTGCACTCGAGCTTTGGTGACAGAGCAAGCCTCTGTCTCAAAAAAGAAAGAAACAAAATATATTTAGTATTCATTAAGTGGAAGTGGATTGTCATAAAGGTCTTCGTCCTGGTTGTCTTCATGTTGAGTAGGCTGAGAAGGAGAAGGAAGTGAAGGGGTTGGTCTTGCTGTCTCACGAGTGTCAGAGGCAGAAGAAAATCCAAGTGTAAGTGGACCTATGCGGTTCAAACCCATATTGTTCAGAGGCCAACTGACTAATACTAATATAATGTATTAGTATTAGACATTGTGGAAATTACAGAAAATACAGAAAAATATCAAAATAGAATCAGTACTACCCATTGATAACTACCATCATAATTCACTATGTTTTCTTTCAGTATTTATTCTGTGCATAAAGATTATATTATCTGAATCATAGTGTGTGTGTGTGTGTATGTATATAGTTTAATATCTTCATTTTTATTCATGACTGCTTCTCATTTTGAGTATATTAGTATTATAGTTTTCCTGACATACGCTTTTTAATGCCTGCATAATGTTCTTTCACAGAGAGATCATACTTTATTTAACTATTTTCTTATTGTGGGACACTTAGATTTTTCTTCCCAAATGTTCTCTATTGTTAGTTTGGTGCAAAAGTAATTGTGGTTTTTGCCATTAAAGGTAACGGCAAAAACCACAGTTAATTTTGCACCAACCGAATACTTCAATAAGCATCTTTATATTTAAATTTTGTCCGCATTCCTGGCTATTTCCTACAGCTCTATTTCCTACAGAGGATAGATATTCTTAAGGCTGGATTTATATTGCCAAATTTGAATACTAACCTTTTAGACAGGTTAGTATTGACCTTTCATTCTTGCTACTGGGGAAAACTAAGTTAAATAATCTGGACTTGGGGCAAATTATATCTCGTCTTGCAAAATAGCCATATGAGAATTTTTATGAATGAATCATTTACTGTATGCCTGGGTAAAAATAGCTGCACACCTTATCTAGTACTTTAGCTTTGAATCTAAGTACACAGACAATTTGTGTTATGAATAAGGACTTCATAACCCATATTATTGACTTAAATAGCATTAAGTGGTGGCTGGTCAGGGACAAGGTGAAGAGGCTAGAAACCAGGGAATGCCACCTTGCCAAAGGCTTAAATACCATTAGGCAGAGCCCATATATATTTATATTCTTTGCTTATTCACCCTCTGTTCATAAATCACATTTAAACATGTAACTCTATACGTATAATGCAAGGCATAGCAAAGTTGCATGCAGAATTTCTTGACAAGCGACATGCATTTTTGTGAGGAGAAAAATATATCAAACTGCCTTTAGGACTGTAACTGACCACTTGGCTATTGCATGCTTTGTGCCTTAGGTCTGGGATGTTTCTCTTGCATGCCTCTGGAATCAAGTGACTCTGATACTGCAAGCACTTCAGAATATGTATAAGCAATTTCACCTGGATTCATCGTATATTTACAGAACTGCCTGGATCTTACTTACAAACATGCCATGATATATATTTATATTAAGAAAACAACGATTCCCTTGAAAGATGAGGGAAAACAAACTAAGTATTTATGTGCAACGAGTCCTAAGTGTACACCACTATGTTTTCCATCAGCCTTTGATTTTCTGTCACTCCTCTTTTTCTTTGAAATTTAGAGTCAGAAGTGAATTGACTTCATGGTTTTCCTCATGATTATTTGATATCCTCTAGAGAATTATGACTTAAAGACTTCATTCTTTCTTCTCAAAACTCATGTTAAAGATTTCGCCAAGCAGAGCCACAGGCTATTTTGGAGTTTCAAATGGAGCAGTTAAAACTAGGAGGTCACACACGTTGAGATTATTCCTTCAACCCCCAGCTTGTGTGCCTGAGGAGACACGCATCTCAGAGGGCAGAGGGGCAGCGGTTGCCTAATGAGGCTATTTCACCTACTGTATAATAAGATGCGGAGGACAATAGCGCATTTGTTATAAAGACTACTTGAGTTTGTTATACAGTTATTCTTCACCAAAAACAACAACGTGATAACTCACAATGTGAGTCTTACTTGGTAGATAGCCAGGACTATAAAATATACAAAGCCAGACTTTGCCATTATTTCCGTCTGAACCTTAGAGATTGCGATAACCATGTATTCAGCCTTAACAAAGGTATTGGCACCATTCTCATTTTTTTTTTCCTATTAATTCTTTGGTCACTTTCAAATGCAAAGTCCTCCAAAGTGGAGGGTCGTTTGTCTCTTATTTTACTCATGGCCATTTATTCCAAAAAGAGAAGTAAGTTATCCTTTCTTCCTTGAATTTAGCCCTTATTCTTTTTTCTTCCTGCCTCCTTTTAAAAAGTATTCCTCCTTAGTTTAAAAAGTCTAGAAATTTTTCTCTTATAATTTTGCAAGACTAGTAAATAAGCAATTCTCTTTGTCATTCTCCCTTCTTAAAAATCAGCATTGTTTATCAACTTTTAGGAACAATCCCAAGACATAGTTTATGGGGGAAAAAAAAGGAACTGATTGCAAAATAAGGAAGTTTCTGGTTTAACTTCCTGCTGAAATTCCTAGGAAGAAAGACAAAAAGCTGAAGACTCACATAATCCTCATGCCCTAGCGATAATGAAGTGTAGCATAAGAGCTTGGTCACCTGGTGGTATTGGATGAGTATGCTGACTCTGCCACAGTGAGCTATGGACCTTGGAGGAATTTACCTGCCAACTTTGCACCTCTGTTTCCAGATCTATAAAATGGGAATACTAATGCCTGCTGGTAGGATTATTCAGAGGATTTCTTGGAACAATATTTATGTATAACCAGGATAACTTGCTCCATAAAACCTAAGTGCAAAAAAGTCACATTTCTTGATTATTTAAATACAGTGAAATCTAGAACTGAACCCTCCACCTACTAAGGCCAGCAAGAAGCTAAATGTCAACTGGTTTATGCAGCTCTTGGAACTGGGAACAGACCTTTTGTTCCTTAACTCTGTGTTCACAGCCCTTAGCACTGTTCCTTCTGCAGTCCAGCCTCTGTGCAGGTCAGGTGTTCACTACCCACTGAGGCTAGTGCTCAAGGCAGGCTTTGGTGATGATCACTTAGCTGGCCTGACATGAATCTCATGCACCCTCAGAGAGAAGCCTCTTCCAGAATATTGCACTCAGATGGGGTGTCCTACCACCTGCAGAAACTTCAGTCCCACAGCTCGCAGAGTCTAGGGATTCACTCCCTTTCTGGGCTGGATCTTTCTGTAAATCCACAGAAGTACCAGGTTGGAGCCCCTCCCACATTGGGACAGTTCTGGCCCCTTCCTGGGAGGGTCCATAATTCCCAAACAAATGCTTTATCGAAGTAGTTTCTCCAGAGGCTCCTGGAACATGAAGGAGCTGTTAGCACCACTTTGGGGCTAAAAGAACCAAGCCCTTGGAAAACAAAGACCTGCCTTTCCCTCCAGTGTAAGATGTTGGGGTATATGAGAATGAAACACAAATTTACACCCTGACACATTTGTAAACTATCAAGTGCATGGTAATTATTCCAAGGGCATCACCAGTTTGCTAAATACCCCCTCTGAAACAGTTTTACTACTGGAAACAAAAGAAAATTTTAAAAACATCTTGGATTGCAAGAAGACATGGTCTATGAATTATAGAAAACCACACACAGAGAAAAGATGAAAAGTTAGGAAGACAAGATACAAAGAGACATGAGATAAGAATGGATGGCAAAAAAATGGAATCAAAGATAAAAATCCCTTGTGAAGGTGGAAAGAAGCAAAATTGACAGTGTAGAAAATGGAAACATTGATTTGGAGGCAAACCTTGAGAGGTCTTTTAGGGTATACAGGAAAAGAACCTAGAGTTAGACATGATAAGTGAAAATAAATGTTACTAAGGAAAGTGATAGATACTGATAAATAAAAAGAATGGGAATTCAGTTTAAGACTTACAGTGTTACTAATAAAAAACCAGAACTACAGCAATAAGTGATAATGACTTCATTGAAGAAAACATTTCCAGGCTGGAAAAAGATTGGAGTGTATAGATTGGGCTCACAAATTCCAGGTAAAATCAATTTAAAAACACCCACAGCTAGACACATATTGACAACATATTTTAGTTCCAAAGACCAAAACAAAAAAGTGCTGCAAGTATTCAGATGGGAAATGCCACCCCCAACCCCAAACAAGTTTTTGATGGAAGAACAAATACCAGACTGACTTCTGACCTCTCTGTACTACTGGAGTCGGGAAAACAATGGAGAGGCACCTAAAAGCATTTTATATTCAGCCAAGTTGACTTTCATGTGTAAATGACCTTGCTTCCTAATACTCCCTAGTTTTGTTACCATATATAGCAATGAGAATGATTAGTACTCAAAGGATTGGGTATTTTATGTTATCCACCACGGTAATTTAGTTTCTTGATGAGATTCTAAAGTTACCTGTAAATGCCAATTTTATGCCTCACCATCTCTCTGTGTGTGTTTTGAGTCTGGTCAAAACACGGAGTTTTTTAATGATCCTCTAATCTGGCAGTGATAGTGTTATTTGCTGCTGAGAAAAGAGGTCTCTCTCCCAATGACTTCTTTAACCTCATTTCTCCCACTCCAAGGGTGGTCCTACTGTTTGCCTTGTCACTGGGAATTTCTACTTTGTGGGCGTAGTGTTTGCTCAGGTGGAAGAGCTCCACATAGCAAGTCTTTGTCCCTTAATTTTACTCCAAATGCTAAGACTTTGATTTATAAATTATATTGAAAAACCAGGGATTGTTAGAGTTTAAAGGACTCTTCTGGGTAGCATCCTTAGTTTACAGGTGATAAAACTGACCCAGAAAAGAGCCATCACTTGTTTAGAGTCACAGATTCAGATACTGTTTGTGTTAGGGCCAGCTAGGCTCCTGGGTTTTCTGCATCCCTCACCAGGATGACACTGATGGACAAGGTCTATTGGCAGGCCCAAGTGATCCCATCTTCACCACGATGAAGTTCGTGAGTGCTGGGGTCCAAAGCCTGCGGAATGGCCAAAGGCAAGCTGATGCCCCATAATAAGAAAGTCAGTGAATTTCCAACAATAAGCAGAGGCACACTTTCAACTCTGCACCTAGGAGCCACTGAAAACTCAACGTATTCGTTATAGAACAGTCCAAGGATACAGAAGACATGCTCTAGCTAGTGTTTGAAAGTTCTTGGAAGTTTTGACTTTTGCCAGGGGCATAGTAACTCACCCCTGTAATCCCACCTACTCAGGAGGCTGAGGAGTTCAAGACCAGCCTGGGAAGTATAGTGAAACCCTGCCAAAAGAAAAGAAAAGTTTGACATTTAAGGGCTCTAGTAACAAAACTTCCCTTCTTTCTTTTTCTTTTTCTTTTTTTTTGAGACGGAGTTT